ACTTTCAAAGTGATCACCCAAGTAAGTCTATTACCCACCTGACTATATTCCTTGCATTCCATATTGATTTATAACTTATTTCTTATTTTTAAATTACAGTGGACACTCAATATTATTTTATATTTGCTTCAAGTGGTGAATAGAAATTTATATATTTTATGAAGTGACTACCCTGCTAAGTCCAGTACACACCTGGCACCATACATAGTTACTACAATATTATTGACTATATTTATTCCATATGTTGTACTTTACATCCTCATGACTGTTTTGTAACCACCAATTTGTGTTTCTTCATCCCTTCACCTTTTTATCTAGGCCCAAACCCCTCCCAATCTGGCAACCCTGAGTTTGTTCTCTGTATATATGAGTCTGCTTCTGTTTGGTTTGTTTATGCATTTTGTTCTTCAGATTACACATAAAAGTAAAATAGTATGATATTTGTCTATGTCTGTCTGACTTATTTCACTTAGCATAATACTCTCTAGGTCCATACATGTTGTCACAAATGGTAAGATTTCATTCTTTTTATGGCTGAGTAACCCACTGTATATATGTATGACATCTTCTTTACCCAATTGTCTAACAATGGCCATTCAGGTCGCTTCCACATCTTGGCTATTATAAAGAATGCTGCAGATGAACATTGGAGTGCAAGTATCTTTTCAAATCAGGGTTATGGATTTTTTTGGATAAATACCCAGGAGTGGAATTGCTGGGTCACAAGATGGTTTTATTTTTAATTTTTTGATGAACCTCCACAGTTTTCCACAGTGACTTTACAACTTTGCAATCCTACCCACAGCACTGGGGTTCCCTTTTTTCCACATCCTCATCAATACTTGTTTATTAATTGATGATAGCCATTCTGACAGGTATGAGTTGATATCTCATTGTATTTTTTTTGCATTTCTCTGATGATTAGTGACTTTGCATATCTTTTCATGTCTGTTGCCATGTGTATGTCCTCTTTGGAGTCTGCTGCTGTTTGATTTGTCTTCTGTTTGCTTTGGAGAAATGTCTACTCAGGTCTTCTGCCCATGTTTATTGAATTGTTTGATTTTTTTTCGGTGTTAAGTTCTTTCCATTCTTCGTAAATTTCAGATATTAATTCCTTACTGGATGTATAATCAACTAATATGTTCTCCCATTCAATAGGTTTTCTTTTTGTTGATGGTTTCCTTTTTGTACGAAACTTTTTGGTTTGATGTAGTCCCATGTTTACCTTTTCTTCTGTTTCCTTTTCCTAAGGAGATATATACAAAATTTTTTTACTAAGAGCCTATCAGGAAACATGCATGTTTCTTTTCAAGTTTTATAGTTTAAGGTCTTATATTTAAATATTTAATCCATTTTGAGTTTATTGTTTTACATGGTATAAGAAGGTAATCTAGGTGGCATTTTTGCATGTACATGTCCAGTTTTGCCAATACCTATTATTGAATATACTATCTTTACTCCATTGTACATTCCTGCCCTCTTTGTCATATATTAATTGACCATATAGGCATGGATTTATTTCTGGGCTCTTTATTCTGTTCCACTGATATATGTGACTATTTTTATGCCAATTCCATGATGTTTTTCAGCAATATTGATATAGATTGCTTTGGGTAGTATGGACATTTTAACAATGCTAATTCTTCCTATCAATGTGCACAGTATATACTTCCATTTAGCTGTATCTTCTTCAACTTTTTTCTTCAATGTCTTTAATTTTATGAGTACAAGTCTTTGACATTCTCAGTTACATTTATACGTAGGTATTTTTTGATGCAATGTAAATGAGAGTTTTCTAAACTTCTCTTTCTGGTAAGTTATGGGTATATAAAAATCCCAACCAATTTCTGAATATTAATTTAGTATCCTGCTACTTTACTGAATTAATTTATCAGTTTTAATAGTTTTTTTGGTGGGAAATTTAGGCTTCTGTCTATACAATACCACGTCATCTACCAATAATGACAGGTTTACTTTTTCCTTTGCCTTATATATATTTTCTTGTCTGCCTGCTACAGCTAGGATTTCTAATGCTATTTTGAATAAAAAGTGATGAAAGTAAACACCCTTGTCTTTTTCCTGACCTTAAGGGAAACTGTTTTAGCTTTCCCTGTTGAGTATGATGTCTGCTGTGAGCTTGTCATATATGGTCTTTACTATGCTGAAGTATGTTTCCACTATTCCCACTTTGCTGATATTTTTTATTATAAATGAATGCTGGATTTTGTCCAATCTTTTTCTGCATTATTGATAGGATCATATGATTTTTATCCTTCATTTTGTTTATGTGGAATATCACATTTATTGATTTGATAATATTCAAGCATCATGGCATCCTAGAAATAAATATCAACTGATCATGGTATATACTCTTTTTAAAACACTGCTAGATTCAGTTTGCTAATATTTGAGGATTTTTGCATTTATGTTCATCAGGAATATTGGTACGTTATTTTCTTTTTTGGCAATGTCTTTGCCTAGTTTTGGATCTGGACAGCCTCATAAAATAAGCTTGAAAGCCTTCTCTCCTCTTGAATTTTTTGGAATAGTTTGTGAAAAATAGGTAGGTGTTCATTCTTCTTTGAATTATGGTAAAATTCACCTGTGAAGCCAACCTGTCCTGGACTCTAGTTTTTTGTGAATTTTTGATTAGTAATTTAATATCCTTGGTTGTAACTGGTCTGTTCAGATTTCCTTTTTCTTCTTTTTAAATTTCATTTTATTTTAAAAATTTTTATTATATTTTTTCTTAATTCAGCTCTGCAAGATTATGTGTGTCTAGGAATTAATGCATTTCTTCTAGATTGCCCAGTTTGTTGGCACATAGTAGTCTGTAGTATTTTGTTATAACCCTTTGCATTTCTGTGGTATCATTTGTAACTTCTCTTTCATTTCTGATTTTATTTATTTGGGTTCATTTTCTCTTTTTTTTTCTTGATGAGTCTGCTTATGCTTAAAAGTTGATCAATCTTGTTTATCTTTTTAAAAACCTAGCTCATGGTTTCACTGATCTTTTGTATTATTTTTCAGACTGTATTTCATTTATTTCTATTCTGATCTTTATTATTTCCTTCCTTCTACTCCCTTTAGCTTTATTTGTTGTTCTTTTTCTTGTTCTATTAGGTGTAAGGTCAGACTGCTTACTTAAAATTTTTATTGCTTTTTAAGGTTGACCTGCATTGTTATGTATTTACCTCTAAGGTCCTGCTTTTGCTGTGTCCCATAGATTTTTGGGTTGCTGTGCTCCTATTTTTATTTGTCAGTGAGTGAATGACATTTGTACCTAGGCGAAGAATACAGGGTGGCAATCCTGTTTTTTCTATAATCATTAAGGTTCCTAGTGGGAGAAGATCACAATATTTGGCTAGACTTAAACACTGATCATCCCCATTTCATATACATTTGGGTGGCAGGCACTGTGATGGGGAAGGCTTACTTTAACCCCAGTACATGGTCTTCCATTCAGATGCTGTTGGGATTTCCACAGCTTACTCACAGGTTTTGAAACAGACTTGTAAGACAGCAGCATCTGGATGGCAACAGATTACTTTCAGACAGAAAGGCTGAATCAAATCCTTAGAGGGTGTCTGGGCTATTTCCTAAGGCCTGAACAGGATTGCTGGTTGACAGTCTATGGCTACTGTTGGTCCTCTGAGACTTCAAAGTCTCTTCTTTGCAGTTTGAAGTTTGAATCTCTGTATGCAATATCACCTTGAACCTTTACCATTCTTCCTCATCACTAGCCAGAGTGGTCTTTTCTGAAATGTAACAGTTCTCTTTTGGTTGACAGAGATGATCAAGGTAGGTCTGTGAGGAGTGGGATCATTTCCTCCCTGAACAAAGGTCCTTTAAAGAGTCTGGTTCCTTAGGACCCCTGGAGTTTCATATTCTCTTCCATGTACCTTGGCTGTGTGGAGAGGGCAGCTGATCTCACAGAGTCGTAATAATGAGGAAACCTAAGGGAAGAGCAGCAAAGGAAGGGCCACCAGGCAGTGGTGAGAGTGGGGAAACTGGCTCTAAGTTCAGAGGGGCAACGGACACTGTACAAACCTTCCATTGAAGGACTAACTGCAGGTCAGAGAGCATGGCTGGGTGATCCTTCAAGAAAGTCCCTGTATTAAGTTTTAAAGGGTTTCTCTTTACCTGTCCCTGCTACTTGTCTCTACAGAGCCTGGACCATCCTGTCTAACTACAATGCTACCACCACAATTAGTCTTTCTCACCAAGAGTACTGAAGTATTACTCAAATGTTGTTCAGATTTACTATGTGTAGGGTAAATCATGAAACCAGCTGTGGTTTACTGCGGTTTACTGTGGTGCTCTTGAAACCAGCTGATTAAGAGTTACTCTTTGTCCCTCTTACCTCTTTATAACTGATGGCAGTTTACTGTTATTTTTATATACTGCAATCATGTTCCTTGGCCTAACAGAGAAAATTACAAAGCTAGAGAATAAAAGAACAGAACAGAAGAGCTGGGAAAATGAGTTGGATCAGTCACAAAATGACTTGGTAGACAGCTGGAAAGGAATCTCTTGAGTGACCTCTGAAAGCCTACAACACAGTAGTACAGAGAAGCATTGGCAAACAATGGTCCAGGCACAAAGTTTAACCCATTGCCTGTTTTTGTAAATAGATTTTTATTGGCATACAGCCACACTCACCTGTATAATATTGTCTGCTTTTGTGCTATATGGGCTGATTTGAGTAGTTGTGACAGCAAACATATGATCTGTAAAGCCTAAAATATTTGCTATCTGGTCCTTTATTAGAAAAAGTCAGCTCTTGCCTGTTCTAGAGATAAAGATATTAGAAGTTCTTTGATTCTGACAGAAAAATTATAAATTCTGATTTGGCAGTGCTACTATAGCATAGATCCCATATGTCATATGTGTTATTTCTCAAAGATTTTGCTGCTGAGGCACGAAGGCATTATTACCCAGTTTTCAGAGGTAAAAACACAGTCACCATTAACTCAGAAATTGTTTCATTCTTATTCTAGAAACTGAATGGTGAAAAACCAGCATGAAGTTTGCAAGTTTGTTTTTGTTTTTTCTGCTTATCATTTTGCAAACTGATTTTGGACAAAATGATGAAAATCCTGGGAAGCAAAGAAAGAAGTGTAACAGAAGACTGAAGAAAATTTCTTCGCCTATGCACAGATCCAGTAGACAGCTTAGAATACAGCAAATAATGATGGTGACACCAGCAGCAAAACTTCCCATGGATAACTTGGATTATAGCGCAGAGAAGTTTGAATCCTTTTTAAGTTTTCTTGGAGTAGAATCACGCTATAATGTACTACCAGGTAAGAAAACAGTACTAGAAAGAAGGGGGGAGTGAAAGAACCTCCATGAAGATAATTTTTTAAAAATTCAACTTATCTTTTGGTTTAATCTATGAAGATAAATTTTCAACTGATTTTAAAAAAATCATTCATAGAATGCACTTATAAAATTACTGGAAAAAAGACAAACTAATTTTCCTACAACTACACTTATAAAACCATAGTTATTATTTTGTTTTATTTATTTTTAGCCTGCTTACTATGCCATGTATTTTAAATAGTTGTAACCATAACATAGAAAATATACACATAAATTTGAAAACTGCTTTTTCATTTGTAATGATATGCCATCTAGGTAATAGAAATAAACAATTCAGATGATTATATAAACCCATGTCTATTAAATATTTTCAATAAAAAATCTTCAAAAAATGGAATTAAGCTATTTCATTTTATACAGACTAAATTACTCAATTTTTAACAGTTGAAAGAATTAAAAATTCTGCCAAATATTTCAACTAGGCATTTTTAAGAACTAGTATTTAATGGTCCACATTTTTGCAGACTTGGAAGGAAAAAGTAATTATACTATACATATGTTACCACTGCATAAAACTTTCAAAAGACAAAAGAAAATATCATCATATTATATTCCGTGGCCAATACTTCATATGTTGTCTCTAGAAAACCAATGTTTCTATATGATGGTATTCCATAAAGCTAAGAGAAATAACATAAATTTTCTATGCAAATATACAACTAAGATCACATGTACAGAATAAGTGGGAAAAAAATCAGAGGCAAGAAAATCTGCTAAGAAGATTTGATAATAGTGTACCCACAATTGCTAAAAAATAATGAGGTCAATTTTCCTAGTTATTTGGGATGATATCCAAGCTATAATAGGAAACAAAAAGGTTGAAAAATAGTATGTAAATTGTGATCTCAAATCTGTTTAAAAATATGTAATATAGGGAAGTGTGCATAAAAACACATAGATGTATACTAAATATTTCTCAGTTGTCCTAAAACATTTTCCAGTGGTCTTTCAGCACTTTTTAAAAAACTGTAGTAACACACTTAACACAAAACTTACCATTTAACATTATAAAGTATATAAGCCCTCACTGGTGTGGCTCAGTGGATTGAGCATTGACTAGCAAACCAAAGGGTCACTGGTTTGATTCCCAGTCAGAGCGCATGCCTGGGTTGTGGGCCAGGTCCCCAGGGGGGGTGTGCAAGAGGCAACTGGTCAATGACTCTCTCACATGTCCATGTTTCTCTTCCTCTCTTTCTACCTCCTTTCCCCTCTGTCTAAAAATAAATAAATAAAATCTTTTAAAAATATATTATAAAGTACACAATTCAGTGGCATGTAGTACACTATGCTGTGCAACAATGATCACTTATATAGTTCCTGAACACTTTCTTCACCCCAAAAGGAAACTCCATACATATTAAGCAGTCACTTCCAATTTCTCCCTAACTCAGCCCCTAGCAACTACTAATCTGTCTCTAAAATATTCCCATATAAAAGGAGTTATAATGTATAGCCTTACATGTCTGGCTTCTATCACTAAGAATAAAGATTTCAAGGTTCATACATGTTGTAGCATGTCAGTACTTCATTTTTATGGCTGAATAATATTCTACTATACAGATATACCACGTTTATCTAGCCATTCATCTGTTGATGGACATTTGTGTTGTTTCTAATTTTGGCTATACTGTAAATAGCACAGCTATAAACACTTGTGAACAAGTTTCTATTTGAACTCCTACTTTCAATTTTCTCAGGCACATACTTAGAAATGGAATATGGGGTGCCTAGGAGCTGAGATGTATGGTAATTTTGCTTAATTTACTGAGGAACCACCAAATGTTTTCTACAAAGGTGACAGATACCATTTTACATACTGACCAACAATATTCAAAGATTTCAACTTCTCTTCATCCTTGACATTTGTTATTTTCCCTTTTTTAAAATGCATTCTTGTGAATGTGAAGTGGTATTTTAATGTATATTTCCCTAATGACTAATGATGTTGAACATCTTTTTATGTATTTATTTCCCACTGTATATCTACTTCTGAGAAATGTCTACTCAAGCCCTTTGCCTAGTTTTTAATTGGGTTGTTTGTCTTTCTGTTGTTGAGTTATAAGAGTTCTTTATCTATACTGTGGATATTAGGCCTTCATCAGATATGATTTGCAAATATTTCTCCCATTGTGTACACTTTCCTTTCACTTTCTTGACATTATCCTTTGATGTATCAAAATTTTAATTTTAATAAAGTCCAATTTATTTTTTGCTGCTTGTGGTTTGGAATCATATCTAAAAATCCAAGGTCACGGAGATTTACACCTATGTGTTCTTCTATGAGTATTGTAGTTTTACATCTTCTATTAAGGTTTTTGATCCATTTTGAGTTTAATTCTTGTATTTGGTGTGAGGTAGTAGACAACTTCATTCTTTTGCACGTGGCTATCCAGTTGTCCCAGCACCATTTGTTGAAGAGACTATTTTTTTGCCTTATTGAATAAATGGTCTTCACACTCTGGCCAAAAATCATTTGGCCATAGGTGTGGTTTATTTTTGGACTTTCGATATTCCATTAGTCTATATGCTTATCCTTATGCCACACTGCCATAAGCTGATTACTGCAGCTTTGTGCTAATTTTTGAAAAAAAGTGTGAGTGCTTCAATTTTGTTCTTTTTTTCAAGATTTTTTGGCAGTTCAGGGCCCTTTGTAACTCCATATGAATTTGAGGATGAACTTTACATTTCTACCAAAAAAAAAAAGGCTGTTGGAATTTTGATAAGATCCAGTATTTTTTATAATCAGGAAAAAACTTACAAGAATCTATTTTTTTTTCCATGGGAGGAATTTGGTGGGTGGGATTAGTCTACGGCAAGTACCCAAATGAGAGTTGGGTAGGGCTGGGATTGGATTGACACAGTGATGGCAAAAAGGACAGGACAAATGTGTGAGCTCATTTGGAGGTATAATTGGGGGACAATAGCTCATCAGATGGAGAGTTAACAGAAATGATGCTAGGGTTGGAAGAAAAATGTTCCCTCTAGTATTCAAATCAGCTGACTAATGGCCTGCTTAGCTGACATACTTATTCACACATCCGCTGTTGTGTAACTTAACCACCCTGACAGATACAGGATGAAAGCACAATTCATAGTCAAGTTACCATAAGGAGGTCACTCCAGAACCTAAGAGAGAGAGACGTTGAGAGCAGTGCACATGAAAGCATTTCAGAGGGTTACATTAATAAGATATTTTACCCTAGCATGAATGCATACAGAATGCTATTCTTGTGTGGTCCTAACCATTTGACTTCACATTGTGCTCACATACATTCACAGGTGCTGGTAACCAGTCTTAGAATTTAAATATCTTATGTTCTCTCCTAGGAAAGAAGGGACACTGTTTGGTAAATGGAATGACCATGTACAACAAAGCCGTATGGTCTCCTGAGCTCTGCACTACCTGCCTCTGCTCAAATGGAAGAGTGCTTTGTGATAAAACCATGTGCCATCCTCAGAGGTGCCCCAAAACAATTACACCTGAAGGAGAATGCTGCCCAGTCTGCTCTGATACCGGTACAAATATTTATATCACATGTAAATTAGTCCTTAAGTTCCACTTGTTTTTTTCTTGTTACTTACTTTAAGTTTTAAATTATGATGAATCAGTCATCAGAGTACTTAAAATATTTGCACAATTATGATAAACATAGACATTACTGGGGAAAACTTATAATAGGGAACAGAAATAAAAAATCTTGGCATTACAGTTGTAGCTCTAGCAGAATGAGTAAGCTTGGACCACATTACATTACATTACACATTTGGCTCTCAGCTTTAGGAATGTAGTGATAGAATTTACATAGCAAATAGTCCCTGAGTTGTTAGGTTGCATAAGAGGCTCTGTTTGGCTCTTTAACTACATTATCTCATTAATCCAACTCAGTGTGGGTACAATTACTATCCCAAACAAAGATGAGGAACTCATAGTGAACAAAAGAGGAATGGTTTGCATCTAGAGAGAATAAATCACAACTCTCCAATATATTTGGAGCAATGGCTTTTCCTTATGGCACTGCTGTTTACAGGAAAGTCATGCTATGAGGTTTTGTTGGCTGCTTACTGTCCCCTTATCCTATGAGGCTCATACCTGATGGAGCTGGGAATCCTTAGGAGGACAACTCAGGTCTCCAAGAAAAGCCTAGCCCATGCCTTATGAAATACACAAATATAAGTTAAATAGTTTATAGGAAGGGATTGGGATGTTTTTTCTTGTCTGTGATCAAGGGTGATCACAGGGCTGGTATCTACACAAGTCCCTTGCTGGGAAGAACTTCAGAATATTTAGGAATTGTATTTTGGTGGATACTACCAATTATCTTACTAAAATATTTATGACTTTTAAAGTGTCAGAAAATACAAGTATTTAATAAAACTGACTCCTTGGGCATGAAAACCACAAGGTTCATAAATGAAAATTCAGAAATTCTGAAACATTTTTCAAAGGACTGGAATTATTCTTAAAATGCTGTGGTTATTTTGAAAAAATAAACTTGGATATACAGGAAGTATTTTAAATGTTTCAATATGATAGCTTTAGTTTTCTCCTGCTAATTGTTTCCTATTCTCCTTTTGTATTTTCTGCCAGAGATGTGAAAAAAATAACTGAAATACTTTATTAAAATATACACTGAATTGAAATCTCAAATACTCCTTCAAATTATATTTTCTGAGTTCTTTGTGGATAATTTATATATAGTATTAAATACTATATATAACAAGGAGATAGGTGAGTCTGAAGTATGAAATAACTGCAAGACTTTATAATATACACTGAATTGAAATCTCAAGTAATCTTCCAAATAATTATATTTTCTGAGCTTTTTGTGGATGATTTATATATACTATTAAATACTACACAAAGCAAGGAGATAGGTAAGTCTAAAGTATGGTCTCAGTCACATCTTCCCCACTTTAGCCAAAGTACTGACAGCTAAATACAAATGTAGAATAACCTTCTACTATACACAGAGTTAGGCAAAAGTGGGTTTACAATTGTTTGCATGGAAAAAGACAAATAATACAAACAAATACTACAATAATAAATAAATAAATAAATAAATAAATAAATAACAACTGTAAACTTACTTTTTGTCTACACTGTATTTATGCTCTCGTCATCATGGAATAACAAAAAGTACCGTCATGCATATGTCTAGGTTAATTAGGTCCAGATGTTTTCTTTAAGTCTCAAGAAGCAAAAAGGATTTAAGTAGAGTCTGGGAGAAAAAAAAAAGAACTTTCTATCAAAGAATGCTTTTGGACTCATGAAGCGGAAAGAAAATTGGATAAAAATAATAATTCTACAACCAAAAGCCAATCTTACTACTGTAAATAAAATACATATTTTACTTTATTATGTCTGAAGGTGTACAATTTCTTGCATTATTAATAAGCCTTATTAACTAAACAGTATCTATTATAAGGGTGTCATATCTGACTAAGTTGCAATCTCACAATAGGACTGCTTCCCCATTTTGCATAATGTGTGATAATATTATTCCCTCTTTAGTTATCAAGTAGCATGATACTTCAGTATAAGTAAATAGTAAAATCTCAGGCAAAAGAGTATTGTCTACAATAGAATTTATAGAATAAAATTATAATGAAAACTACTTAAAGATTGCAAGATGTATTTCATGTTTAAAGTATACACAAAACTACCTGAAGGCAATAATATTTTTTTCAATATAGGTTATTGATTATACTATTACAGTTGTCCCATTCCCCCCCTTCACTCCCCTCTACCCTGAATACCCTCTCTCACCCACATTCCCCCCCTTTAGTTCATGTCCATGGGTCATACATATAAGTTCTGTAGCTTCTACATTTCCTATACTATTCTTAACCTCCCCCTGCCTATTTTCTGCCTACCATCTATGCTACTTATTCTCTGCACCTTTCCCCCCTCTCTCCTCCTCCTACTCCCCTGTTGCTAACCCTCCATGTGATCTCCATTTCTGTGGTTTTGTTCATGTTCTACTTTGCTTAGTTTGCTTTTGTTTTTGTTTTAGGTGTGGTTGTTAATAATTGTGAGTTTGCTGTCATTTTACTGTACATGTTTTTTATCTTCTTTTACTTATTTAAGTCCCCATAACATTTCATATAATAAGGGCTTGGTGATAATGAACTCCTTTAACTTGACCTTATCTGAGAAGCACTTGATCTGCCCTTCCATTCTAAATGAAAGCTTTGCTGGATAGAGCAATCTTGGATGTAGGTCCTTGCCTTTCATGACTTGGAATACTACTTTCCAGCCCCTTCTTCTTGCCTGTAAGGTCTCTTTTGAGAAATCAGCTGACAGTCTGATAGGAACTCCTTTGTAGGTAACTGCCTCCTTTTCTCTTGCTGCTTCTAGGATCCTCTCCTCCATTTTAATCTTGGGTAATGTAATTATGATGTGCTTTGGTGTGTTCCTCCTTGGGCCAACTTCTTTGGGACTCTCTGAGCTGCCTGGAAGTCTATTTCCTTTGCCAGAATGGGGAAGTTCTCCTTTATTATTGTGGATGATTTATATATACTATTAAATACTACACAAAGCAAGGAGATAGGTAAGTCTGAAGTATGGTCTCAGTCACATCTTCCCCACTTTAGCCAAATATTTTTTCCACTTGTTGCTCTTCCTTTTCTCCTTCTGGCACACCTATAATTCGGATGTTGGAACGTTTAGAGATATTTTGGAGGTTCCTCAGCCTCTCCTCATTTTTTTGGATTCTTGTCTCTTCCTTCTTTTCTGATTGGATGTTTCTTTCTTCCTTCTGGCCCACTCCATTGATTTGAGTTCCAGCTTTCTTCCTATCACTATAGGTTCCCTGTACATTTTCCTTTATTCACTTAGTGTAGCCTTCATTTGTCCATCTAATTTGCAACCAAATTCAACCAATTCTGTAAGGATCCTGATCACCAGTGCTTTGAACTGTGCATCTGATAGGTTGGCTACCCCTTCATTACTTAGTTGTATTATTTCTGGATTTTTGATCTGTTCTTTTGTTTGGGCCATTTTTTGTGTATCTTGACATGCATATTAGGTAATGAGGGTTGGAGCCTTAGGTGTTTACCTGGGTGGGGCAACCCAGTCACTGGGTTGTGATGCTGTATGTGGGGGCGGGGTCTGAGAGGAAACAATGGCGCTTGCTCTGCTCTCTGCTGGATTTCAGTCACTTCCACTCCTTCCCCCAAGCAAACTGGGCCCTTATGGTGCTGATTCCCGGGTAGGTGGGTTTGTATATGTTCTAGGACCCTGTGGGTCTCTGCAATGAACTCTCCTGTCGGAAGTCTCTCCTGGAACCTCAACTCCCACGGATGTTTTCAATCAGTGTTTTGAGGCTTTATTTCCCCACACTGGGATCCTGGATTTCATGGTCTGTCTTGCTCTCCAGTTTCACCTGGTGTATCTGAGCATGAATGTGGGACGGCCTGGTCTGCCAGCTGCCTTGTATACCGCACCCCTCCACAATCCACTGCCTCCCTAGGTCCGCCTGCTGCAGCCTTTCATGCCCTGAGTCCGCCAGCTGCTGCTTTGCCACGAGTCCTCTCCACCGGGCCACCTGACTCTGCCCTTCCTACCAGTCTGGATGAATGTTTCTTCTTTAACTCCTTGGTTGTCGGACTTCTATACAGTTCAATTTTCTGTCAGTACTGGTTGTTTTTTTGTTTGTGAATTTTTGTTGTCCTTATTTTGGTTGTGCGAGGAGGCACAGTATGTCCACCTATGTCACCATCTTGGCCAGAAGTCCGGAATAATATTTATTAACCTAATTTTTGCTGATTCTTCCTTTTATTAACATCATAACATGCCCCTGCTGCCTACTTCTTGCATGGTCAGTGTAGTCTCTTACCTGCTACTGAGTGATAGAGCATTAAATGACAGAACTGAATTTTCTGGTGATTCTTCAGAGCAAAGAGAAACTACTAACTTACTTCATACGCAACGTCCACCACCTCGGGTGGAAATGGATCAAGCATTGAGAAAAGAGGAACTTCAATTTGAGGAGTCTAATGAAGAAATTAAAGAAAATGAAGATAGAAAGAAAAAGATCCCTGGAACTGGAGATGGGGAGAAACTTACCACTGAGAGGCAGAGCAGAGAAGGGGCAGAGCAGAGACTTGCAGAGGAGGGGAGGCAGACCCATCATCATGGAAGCACAGCAAGACAGGAGGAGGAGGAGAATGAAGAGGAGGACTACAAGGATGAGTATGAGACCATCAGAGATATATTCAGGATTCCACCTCGACTCCCTGTCCCTGCTCCTCCCAGAAGCATGCCACCTCTGCCAAGTGGGTGCTCTTTGTCCTACAGGACCATCAGCTGCAACAGTGTTAACCTCACACAGATACCACCACTAACAGCACCAGAGGTAACAAGTCTGGAGCTCCCTGGTAAGAGATGCTAATGTCTGTTTTATTTTATGATTTAAAAGTACATAATTCTCTTTGCCGCATGAATGTTATGTTTTAATTTCATAATATAAATTGACTCCAGACAATTTTCACAATCTTCAAACATATAAACTTTGCAGAAGAGGTAGGTGTTTACTACAGTATAGCATTATTAGGTATAAAGTGAATTCCTCCAAATCAAGCCATGATTTCCCTTGGACTTTTTCTTAAAGTCATCTTTACTAAGCTATAATTTATATGTAGTAAAACTTATTGTTAGCATGTTACTGAATTTTGACACGGGCATATAGTCAGGTAACCAATGCCTCTATCAAGATACAGAATATTTCCTCACCTCCCCCAATTCCCTCATGCCCTTCCTTTCATCCTAGGCACCAGGATGTGTTCTGTATCTATAGTTTTGTCTTTTCCAGTACATCATAGACATAGAATCATTCAATACATAGCCTTTTCAGTTGGGCTTCCTTCACTTATTACACTGCTTTTAAAGGTCATCTAGGTTGTTCTATTTATTGGTATTGTGCTCCTCCATATTACTGAGTGGTTATTTGAATGAACCACAGGTACCAGCTAAAAGACATCTGGATTATTTCTAGTTTGGGGCAGTTATGTATACAGTTGTTATGAACATCCACATACAGATGTCTGTGAGGACCAAAGTTTTCTTTACCCTAGAATACATATCCAGGGGTAGGGCCTCTGAGTGACACAGTAAACACATGTTTAACTTGGTGAGAAACTACTAAGAAGTCTCTAAAGAGGCTGTGGCATTCCTGCCAGCAATGTCAGAGAAGCCCTTCCATTTTGCTTCAGGTCAGCTATTTTCTGCCTCATGTCAGTCATTCTAATGGACATGGAGTGGTCCAAACCTTTTACTCATATTTTTATAGGCCTACCCGGAAAGGTTCCGAGTAGAAGAACAGCATGACCCAGTGTGTATGTGAGGCTGGTTGGCAGGGAGACTGGGCCAATGAACAAGGGTGGTATGGCTCATGAGGGGTGGTCCTGCAGATGCAGGGGTGATAGAATCTCAGTGGAGTTTCAGGCATGTCTTGGGGGAAATCATTAAAAAAACCCCATCAAAATAATAAATTATCATATAACTACTCAATAGGAAAAGTCCAACATCTTTGTTCAGGATGGCCAGTCTGTGATGAGATACCACCAGTGTCATGGTCTTCCTGACACGATGCTGTTGTGACCTCCAATAGCATTTTTCTTATACCCAGACTTGTGCTCCAGCAATGCCCCTTCCTCCTGTGGCCTGCATGCCAGATGTGCTCTGCCATAAGAAAGCTCAACTTGTTAAAGTCTAAAGTCTTATGAAAGATAAAAGACCTGTGCTCAGTCACACTATCTTGGTTTTACAAGAAGGCTACCAAGTGGTTTATGTAGTGCTGTTTCTGGCAAGCTCATTTTCTGAGTCTAAAATCACTGACTACTGTACTTAGCTGAATGTCAAAACAAAACACCATAAATTTAAGGCACATAGGAACTTCTGTAGATTGAAGTCATAGAAGTAAAACAATAGATCTGGAGGTGATCTGAGAGATCATCTCTCCAAGCTGCTTATTTAGAAAAGAAAACTGATGCTCAGAAAAGGTTAAGTGACATGCCCAAGGCTTTATTAGTTAATAATAGTATCATATTTCTGAACCAGGTTGTCAGAAATATCAATGGGAAAATATGAGGAACTATAAAAATCAGTTTTTACATAAACTTCCAGAAATAATCTTTGTTATAAAATGTATAATGCTAACAGAATTGTGTAGCAAACTGCATTCTGGTTGTTTTAAACAGTTTTATGTAAAACATGTGCTAGAGAATGTCAGGTCTTTAGAGTGAAAATTTTGACTATGTGAAACAGTCCAGTCCCAGTCTTGTTTTTTTTTAACATGTATTTGCTTATATAATATATATTCTGTCCTTGTTATGAGTATTGCTTTTTCCTACAGATAAAACTCTCTCTTGCTATGTGTGCATGTGAACATGCATGCATATGCATTTACATACATGCATGTATTGGTACATAGGTCTAAAAATCAACTGCTCCACATCCTAGGCAATTCCATCATCTCCATTCCAGATGAAGCATTTAATGGATTACCAAATTTGGAAAGGCTTGATTTGAGCAAAAATAATATCACTTCTTCAGGCATAGGTCCAAACGCACTCAAGGTAAACACATGCTTTGATTTGGGAATAACAATCCATTTAGACAGCTGTCCTGTGATTTGTACTAGCAGTGGGTGGAGATGGGGAAGGGAGAAAAAGTTAAATGTTTTAACTGGTAGTTTTCTCGTAAGTTAAAATTTCCTCTCTGATGTCTCTAAATTGTATTCATGTTTTATCTTGAAAAGAGACTGTTGTTCCACATGTTTCTGGCTGGTTTTTCTACACTTCACCCTTAAAGTACCAACAATAGCATCCATGACAAACAAATGTATTAAATTCAGGAGTAGTTTTCCCCTAAGTAGCTGTAAAGATGTTGAAATATGGTCTCTTAGTGCAGGAGGTATTCCTGGGAAGAAAGGATAGCTTTATCAGGAAACACTATGAATATTTTGAGGCCAGCAAGTCAGAGCTTCCCTATTTTGTGCTATGGACAACATCTGATGAAGGGATACTTTGGGAAAAAGGGGTTCTGAAAAAAAACAAATAGGCTCTGATGAAAACTGTCAGAGTCACTGAAATAGGGGACAGGCTGACAGTGACCAGAGGGGAGAGAAGAGGGAATTTCAGGGGAGAATGGGAAGGATTTACAGGAACAAATTTAAAGGACACATGGAGAAAAACTAGGGGGAGGGTGGTAAAGGGAGGGAAGGGGGGAGGGTTGGGTGGGTGGGCTGGAATGGGAGTAGAAGGGAGAAAACTGTACTTGAACAATGATTAAAATAAAACTAAAAAAAAAGAAAACTGTCATGGGGATAGGTTGGAGAAAAAAGAGGGAAGTAGAGAAGATGGGGAATAGCAGAGAATAAATTTCTGAAAGACTCAGATTTGACAATTTTTTTCTAAAAAGGAGAAAAGAAGATCAAGGAATTTCAGATATACAAAGGCAGAAGCAAAAAAGGAGAGTTCTCTGTGTGTAAACAAATACTCATAAATATGTATGCTTTAAGAAGCCCAAGTAAAACATACTGTATCCCATTAGACTAAACTTTATTCCCTTGGACAGTCTTCTGTTCACTCCTTAGACAAATTGCTGGCTTCTTATGCACTCAGTTCCTGGTTTTCATTCAGATTCTGGGATGGCAGAGAGGGGTTCACATTCCTCAATGTCACAGACCAAGAGTATCTGCCTCATGGTAGTCATTCTTCTGATAGAAAACCTGGGAGTTGTACATTTACTGTGTGATTAAAAAGGAAGACACTGTAGGAAATTACCTTCCTTTTTTGTCTTGAGATAGTCTGTCCCATTCCAAAACTGCTAAAATTTGAATCTGAACACCACTGGAGTGAATGATTGGCATGGCTTCACTAAAACCTGCACAACTGCAGCACTCTACTTTGGCGTTACAGGCTAGTTTGACCAACAAGCATGCAACCATAAATGTAGACATAAATGTTTCCCACACAGGTAAAACTGTTTGGGTAGCACATAGTAATAGCTTGTGAAATTTATACCATTTCATTTGAAGAATTTCCACTATAATTAGTGGTTATAATTCTCCTTCTACTTAAAAACTGAGGTTTCTACACAGAAAACTGAGGTTTACAAGTTTGAAAGGATAAATTTCAGCATCCATGACAGATTCAGGTCACTGAATGATTTAATTAACTTTGTGTCTATTCGTGAGGTGAAAACTAAGATCTAGCAAAATATAATTAATCCAGTGGCAATAGGAGCCTTCTCTTGTTTATGAAGACCACAATAATGTGTGACAAATAAATATGGGTGAGTGGAATACAAAATCATTAAATGTAGTTTGCTGAAAGTACCTGGGAATAAATACTACTAACAGGATCAACATCTCCCTGGCAGGGACAATATGGGGATTGCCATCTAAACCTGAGGAAGTTCAGATTTATACGATGTCAGTAACTATGGCAAATTGAATCATTAAATGAAATACATTACTGTACATTTGTGACCAGATAAAAAACTAATTTTGAGATTTGCTTTTTAAGCTTCTGAAGAAGTTAATGTACTTAAATATGGATGGAAACAATTTAGCAGAGATTCCTTCGGAACTACCATCTACATTAGAAGAACTTAAAATCAATGAGAACAATCTTCGGGCTATTGATGAAGAAACTTTATCAGGTATTTATTAGTGTGTGGTTTTATATGTGTCCTTATAACTTTCTTCTGCAGTCATGTAGGGATTTTAATTGCAGTATTGCTAAGTAAGTAGTTAGCAGGGTTTTTAAGGTCACTTTATCACTGAAGTTGATAAAACTTATTTTAATTAGTGAAATTCTTAAAATGTATTTTAAACTGCCTGTTGTCTTTCTTTTTAATTCAATCTGTTGGTGTTATTTTAACTTTTTAAAAAAGATTTTATTTATTTATTTTTAGAGAGGGAAGGGAGAGAGATAGAGAGAGAGAGAAACGTCAATGTGTGGTTGCTGGGGGTCATGGCCTGCAACCCAGGCATGTACCCTGACTGGGAATCGAACCTGCGACACTTGCCTGTTGTCTTTAAAGTACTATAAATAGGCATGAAACTCACAATGATTTCAGGTTCTCATCATTTACAACACATTGACTAAACTCCAAATCTGTGATATCCTGAGTTATATAACTTTGGACATAGCCATGTATTCTGGTGTTGCGTCTATACTGATGTTTTTGGTGGTTAGTGGTGATAATGCTGTATCATGGCTGGTTCATCGGATCTCTTTTATCAGTCTTAGATGCTCCGTACACCACAGCCACATCTCCTGCTGCTATTTTAACTTATCATGTGTTGGTATATAAGAATTATATATCAAATATGAGTAAGTGGCCACTGTATGTGAGGCCAAGGGGCTATCCTACAATCACTAACTGTAGCACAGGCACTCGATGGCAGACACTTTGGCTTTGACAGTCTTGTTCCCAAGGGTGTATGGCTGCCGCCATGACAGCCTGGCTTTCTTATGAATGGGCTTTAGTGAAGACGCCCCACGCTCCACATATTTAATACACCTAGAATTGTATCCTTATGGTTGTTTCTGGACTAAGCTGAGTAACTAAAGTTGCCATATTATCAACTCTGTATAAAAGAGGCAGTATTACATTTAGCTTTTCATGAACTCTAGTTAATGTCTTTATTAGATTATATTCTTCTTTAAAACAAAGACTGCCTAATTTTTTTTTGTTTGAAACTGTCTAACGTAGTTCTTGAGGTATAGTGCTCAACACTTTTTATTTGATTTGAAATATATTTATTATGCTAATGTTTATTACCCAAGCCTTCAAAGGACTAAAACAATTCAATTATTTCCTTTCACTCCCAAAAAACTTCACAGGAAGAAAACACTTCTGGTAGTGGGGGAAAAATAATAATGAGAATGACTAAATCTAAGGATTCTAGAATTATGGAAATACCCTATTTCGAGATGAACTTCAGGGTACACAAGAAAACCATTAATAAACACAAATTTTGATGGGATGCATAATATGGAAAAGACATTAGAAATTTCAATTTCTAACTGCTAGAAGCTGAAATAGACCAAAGTAATATTTACTTTGGAAGAAGTGTACTACTAATGGGCTGTATGTGAACTACATGTGAGATCACATTTCTCCTGTGTTATCAAATGACACGTTAGAAAACTAAGTCCATATTTGGAAAATGCTCTCACACCTTCCTGAAACTGCTTCTCTGCTCTTCCCCATCATGAACAAATGTTTCCACAGCTCCAGAGGGTTGACTGTGGTCCAGGGTGAAATGGCCTCCTTTATACTTCCTTCCCCTCTTCACAGTCCCAGTACTGCAGAGGCCTCAGACCTATGCAGGTGGCCGTCAAGGAGGTTCTCCACTGTCATCTCACCCACAGAGCCCCCTTCATTCTGTGTGGGCTGGCTCTTTTTCTCTTCGGGGTGCATTTTAGTCCTGCTCCAGTGCCGACCCCTCAGGTACTAGGTTCTCTCTTGACTGCTGTAACCACTGAGGCTCCTTAGCTCCTGTTGAGTCTTGCTGTCCTAGATGATCAGGCTGACTGGCAGTGAGCAGGTTGAGCCTGAAGAAAGGCCAGCATTAGTACTGTGACACTACTTTTTCTAGGTAGAAGCCTGCTGCTCGGCCATCAGTGTTCTTCTATTATCTCTTGTGGCAGGTCTCCACCTTTCAGGTTATGTATAGTTTTAGGGAAGTGGGAAAGAAACACGCTTCAGGAAGAGAAGCAGCATGTGCAAAAGCATGGAGAAATGAAACAATCTGGATGTCATAGGAACTGCATGCAGTTCTAGTTCTGTGAGTCTGTCATTCAGGATGTGATGCAAGGTTTAAAGCAGGAGGTCTCCTGAAGTGTGCACTAACTCTTTCTCATTTCTAACTCTATCTCATTTCCTGTTACTACTGTAACACATACATTGTGTGTTTCCTACATATATAATATACACATAAATGAGAGAATTGTAGTGATGTATAATATTGTGTATATGAATTGTGCATTATGTTTCTTTTGAGTTGTAATAACCATTTGTGTACTTCTACTATCTACTATCTTAGATAGTAGATACAATCTAAGTAGTACACTTGGAAGTTTCAGAGGAAAACTTCTATTATGTTTCCAAACCTGAACTTTGTGCTAGATAAATACACTGAATGCTCAGTATCTTCAGTTTTGGATAAAGAGAATATGAGGAAATGAAATCACTTTTTAGAGTTTACAAGTTGGCCTCCCTAACTCCTGTCTCTCAGCCCTTCAATTGATCCTAAACACCACCAGCTGAGCCATGCTCACACTTCCATACCACTCAAGTCTACACTGCTGTCTCCTCTGTGTCATCTTCTAGTGTCTATGATCTGTACTCTAGAGAGTACTGTCTTGCTTCTCTGAGAGGCCTAGAAGGAGGAAATGAGTTACACAGAGAATTTAGGGCAATGCCTGTGACTTGAGTTGAATATGAAAACATCCCCTATTCTGGAAATCTTGGCCACTGAACAAACTGCAAAGCTACGCCCTGAATGTCTGACTCAGATACTTCTGGCAATCATCACTGCTGACCAGCCCACTCTTCTTTAAGGTTCCAATCTGTGTCATACCACTACTGAGGCCAGTAGAAACAATTTAGAGAAAACTTGTTTGTCTAAAGGCCTTTTTTGGCAGGACACTCTGAATGCATGGAAGTTTTGATAATTTTCCTTTCAAAACATCTACTTGGCTGCATTCTCTGCCAGGAAGTGAACATTGTGATGGAAATTCAGTGCTGCATGTTCAGAAACGGAGGGTTTGCTAGGCAAAGAGCGCTCTTACTTTGTCTTGGAAAAGGAATCATTGCACTACACTCCTCATCCATCTCCAATTATGATCCCATTTAATATCCACCTGGCTTTACAAATGCTTCAAATGACCTTCCACAACCTTTGACTTCTTGCACATCTGTGTTCCGAGTTCCTGCTTGGCCATCGCTGCCTCCCCCAACTGCCACCCATCCCTTAGAGTGTGTATTTTGATTACACAGCATTAACAATGGTTTCTCTTTAGGCCTGCCTCTCCATGGGATCAAACATTCAGTGTTCAGTCCTGGCTGAACTAAGCATTTAGAACAGTGGTTTCAAACTCATTTTCACCAGGGGCCACATCAGCCTCCAGATTGTCTTCACAAGGCAAAAATAATTTTAGGACTATATAAATGTAACTACTCCTTAACTGTTAAGGAGTCGAAATCAGCCCTTTGAAGGCAACCACAAGGCTGATGTGGCCCCTGGTGAAAATGAATTTGACACCTCTGATTTAGAATGTGCAAAGTACTTGGGAAAAGGCTCTATAGAGAGATACAAAGAAAGAAGCTACAATATCTGTCCTCCAAATAAACTGAACACTTCACAGAATGTTTTGAAAGGTTATAGAAATTGCATGGTTTTCCAGTTACTATCCTAATACTCCAATAATTCTGTTTTTTTTTTATATAGATTTAAATCAATTGGTCACCTTAGAACTGGAAGGAAACAATCTCAGTGAAACCAATGTCAATCCTTTAGCTTTCAAACCTTTGAAGAGCCTATCCTACCTACGTCTGGGAAGAAATAAATTTAGAATTATACCACAGGGTCTTCCTACTTCTCTTGAGGTACGTATATCTTTCTGCAAATATTTTATATTTTAAATACAGTATGCTACAAAAATAAATATATTTTAAGACATTATTGTGATGCATATTAAACTCAGTAGTAGTTTTGATGCTATATATGGAACTTGCTATAATTTGAACATTTTTTTCTCTTTGTATTACATAAAATTATGAATTAAAGTTATAATTATGAGCAGAGACCCTTAAAAAAGTAATAAACCGGTCCTACTGACAGCTCCTCAGGAGAAACTGGGGAAATGAACTAAGAATTTAAACAGAAACTATGACTTGCAAAAAGTACCCAGACTTGCAAAATAGTTTTAACTGTCCCAAACAGAATTGTGATGATCATCTCAGTCTGCTCCACCCAGATCCCCACATGAACTAACAGTGACCCTGCATGGATAGACAAAATCTACAGAGAAGGGTGCTCACTGTGCCAACAGCCCCCTAATTTACCAGTTCTGACCAGCTCCTTCCAAAGGCCCAAGTGCGGTTCTGTTTTCACCCCCTCTGCAGATGCCCCTGCTGCAGCGAAGTGTGGTCTCCCTTGCTTAACTAAACACACTTAACTAAAGAGGACTCCTGCTGGTCTTTGGTACTGAGGGTATACCCCAACTTCCTAAATCAAGTACACAAAGGTCTAGCAGACCCAGCAGAAACTCAGGCCATCTCCTCTGGGCTCCATTTCTGCCATACAGTAGATCACTCAACAAGAAGGAAGGACAAGGTTTGGTTTCCCACAGCTATGGACCCAGCAGGCTAAGACGGGGCCTTTGATCTCCATCTGATGCTGCCATAGACACCACCCTTCCTCCTTCTCCTATTTGCAGATTAAGATTGTAACATCAGAATTTATCAAAATATTAAAGATCAAGGTTCCAATACCTGGCTTACAATCACTATCACTTGGATTCTAAAGAAATACAGACTCTTGGACTTATTCCAGACATGCCAGGTCAGGTTCTTTGTAGGATGGAGTCAGCAATGTGTAACTTTTTAAGAAATTAAAGTTTTCAATACATAAGGCACATGGTAAAACACACACACAAATACATACATAGGTGTGTGAGTCCACACCTTGAAAAATACAAAGAGTAATGTGTCTTTACTCTATATCTGACCCTTCCATCCCCCCTTTCTCTTTCCAAAGGACTTTTCTCACTAACTTGAGAAGTGCTGTCCACACAGTCACATGTGCTCTGAATCCATCCAAGGCACAGCTTCAGACCTGCAGTTCCAATGTATCGATGACTGAATTTTGACTGGGGTCCATCTAGGTTGAAATTTATACTTTAAAAAGCTCACAAGTGCCCAGGTCAAGTGGCTCAGTTGGTTGGAGCATCATCCCATACCTCAAAATGTTGTGGCTTTGATACCTGGTCAGGATCCCTGGTCAGGGCACATACAGGAGGCAATCAACTGATGTTTCTCTTTCATATTGATGTTTCTCACTGTCTCTCTATCTCTCTTTCTCCTTCTAAAAATCAGTAACTCTATCCTTGGGTGAGGATTAAAAACTAAAAAAAAAAAATAATAAAGAGCTCACAAGTATTGTACTATACAAAGTTTATAAACCACTGATCTAGTTTACCTCTAAATATTTATGAGGTAAATGAACTTACTTGGAAGAGCAGTAAAAGACTCCTTAGATAATACTAATGAGAATAGTTTGTAATAGCACTTTAATTTCTGTAAAATTGAATATATTCATCAACTAACAAGAAGAAAAATACGTCTTTTCTTTTAATTATAGGAATTATACCTAGAAAATAACCAAATTGAAGAAATAACTGAAATTTGTTTCAATCATACCAGAAATATCAATGTCATTGTACTATGTTATAATAAAATTGAAGAAAATAGGATTGCTCCTTTGGCGTGGATAAACCAAGAGTAAGTATACACTATAATTAGACTTTAGACAATTTCTTCCTTTTGCCATTATTAAAGAAGGTATGACCAGGGAGATATGTGCGAGGTGACAGTATCCTTTCTTATCCTTTGATCTCTGTCCCAGGTGCCAGGTCATCAGATCAAAATGGAATGAGAATATAAAAATTCTACAATACTGCCACTTCTTTGATAGGATCATTGAAGATTTTAGGAATAGGCAATATGATGTTGGCTAGTGACTCCCCCTCTGCCCCAAACTTAGGTACTTTCATGGAGTTCAAACCAATGATGATATGACTGGTGTTAATGATAACCAGTCACTGCTGGTATGGACGGACACTTTACCACATGCAAGTGCTCTGCCAGCCACAACTGAGCCTGCGCAGTGGAACCTGGGGTCTAGCCACCATGATACTTTCACTCTGTCAACTTCAAAGGGTAGTCATGAAGTTTAAGTGAGATAATCCCCTGCAAAGACTGAGGAAGGAAACTAACCTCCTCCGTTAACCCCCTTAGGTAAAAGCACAAGACTTCACTGTCCTACAACCACACTGTCTTTATTTCTCCAATTTTTATACCTCAAGTCTTACAAAATAGACTGGAGAATGGTTGGCCTGATAGCCCAGACACACAGCAAAGGCCATCTTCCTGGAGAGAAATCTGTGGCCCCAGACTGCAGCCCTCATTGAAGGGGCCAGCGTGGAGACTGCCAGGCAGGAAGTGAAGAACAAGCCATGTGGGAAAGCTGGATTGAGCCCTGTTAGCGGGTCCAACCTGTGGCAAGGGAACGAGGGATCTGACTAGCATAGCGGGGATAGGTTTCTTTTAGAAGCAGCATGGAGAGAAATGAAAAGTGTGGATGGCCAACTGGGTTTATCAGCATGTGGTGGTGGCAGGTAACTGAGTTTTTATCAGGTGCAAGTCTTCATGGGTAGGCAGAGGCTGTAAGTGAGGCTCCTGAACCAATCAGGTAGCTCACATTTCCTGATCATCCGGGGCCAGTGAACCACCTTTTCTAGACCCCTTAGTCTCACTCTCTGTCCCAGGTGCCAGGTCATCAGATCAAAATGGAATGAGAATATAAAAATTCTACAATACTGCCACTTCTTTGATAGGATCATTGAAGATTTTAGGAATAGGCAATATGATGTTGGCTAGAACACTTGGGATTTCATTCCTGATTCAAGTTTGACCTTAGAGATATTTGGGGACCTCTTTGAGCCTCACCATTATCCCCGGGATATGAGTTTTTCTCTCTGAACTCTGGTGCTCCTCTCTGGGGGAACTGGAGCAGCTGTGTGGTGCCCAGGTAAGAGCACACACCTTGAGTCAAGCTGTCACAGAGCCACTATTGTACTGGGAATCATTACAGCACACCAAGTGCTGACAGAAAAATCAGAAAGTATCCTGACTGGCTTCGTCAAAACCTAGAGCTCACAGTCACTTCCCTGATGTTCTACCCTGTTTATTCTTTGCTTTGCTGCAGAAATCTAGAATCAATTGACCTTTCCTACAACAAGCTCTACCAGGTCCCCTCCTACCTCCCCAAGTCTCTGCTGCACCTCGTGCTCTTGGGAAACAAGATTGAGCGCATCCCTGGCTACGTGTTTGGCCACATGCAGCCAGGCCTAGAATACCTGTACCTATCATTCAACAAACTCTCTGATGATGGCGTGGACCGAGTCTCCTTCTACGGGGTTTATCATTCTCTGAGAGAGCTGTTTCTGGATTACAATGACTTAAAATCGATACCACCAGGGGTTCAGGAAATGAAAGCACTACATTTCTTGAGGTTGAACAACAACAAGATACGGTAAATTTTAGCTTTTTCAGGTATCCATTTACATTACTGTGATTGACAAAAATATATGATTAAACTACTATGACATGATGTCTGGGATTTACTGTAAGGAAGAAAGTGACAAGAATTGCATTAAACAAGATTGGTAAATGCTAGTAACTGTTGAAACCAAAAGATAATAGGTATATAAAAATTCATAATGTTTTTCTACTTTTGTATATATTTGCATACTTCCATAGTAAAATTTTTTAAAAATAGATTACTATTACATAATACTTAAAACCTCAAAGACAGGCTGAAATGAGGCATCAAGGTGTTATATGATGGTGCTTCTCCCACCTTCACACATAATTATAAACACTAATCTGTAGAACACAAAATCTAAATATATGCCAAAATAAAAATTGTTTCTATCTAAATTCTCCTGAAGGTAAAATTCTAAGTAAGTTTATGGAGATTCAGCGTCCCTCACTTGTCCAGATACAATTTTCTGCATGTGTTCCATCTGCCCGGAAAGCATTAACAAGAGAGGCAGATCACTGAGCTCTGGGGCCTTGTCCATGAAGGTTACATCCTTATTCTTTTCTCATTCTCTAAAATTCCAAACACATTTAAACTCTCCCCAAAACAAGACAGAGAAAGGGTTAAGGATTTCTAAAAGCCCTGGTGGAAGAAGTCAGGGATGGGTAGGGAGGTTCAGTAAGATTTGCTTTCAAAATATTTGCCTGAGATACTCCGTAAGTCATGCTATATGCTTGCTTCCTATTACACTGCAACAGGATGCATGTGTGTGTTTGCACCACTTCTGGTGGGATTTAGGTGGTCACAGTCTAACATTTCCATTATAACCTTTCTCCTCCACCACTGAACCAATGGTTTCACTCACAGATCACTGTTGCTTGAGTCTGATCTTTTCTTTTCTATTTCTCAAGTGTATGTTATTAATCATGCAATTACACTTGTCTCAATTTTTCCCCCTTTGCCCCACTCCATCCATTTCCCTCTAGGAATCTGCCACCCCCTCTTAGTTCATGTCCATGGGTCATGCATATAAATTCTTTGGTTTCTCCATTTCCAATACTATTCTTAACATACCACTGTCTATTTTCTACCTACCAAATTTTGCTTCTTATTCCTTTTCCCTTTTCCCCCATTCTCTGCTCTCTGCCTCCTCGCTGATAACCCTCCATGTGATCTCCATTTCTGTGACCCTCTTCCTGTTCTAGTTGTTTCCTTAGTTTTTTTGTTTGTTTGTTTTTTTAGATTGAATTGTTGATAGTTGTGAGTTTGTTGTCATTTTACTGTTCATATTTTTGATCATCTTCTTTTTCTTTTTTAAAATTTTTTTCAGATTTTATTTTTAGAGAAGGGAGGGAGAAAGAGAGAGAGGGAGAAACATCAATGTGCGGTTGCTGGGGGTCACGGCCTGCAACCCAGGCATGTACCCTGACTGGGAATCGAACCTGCGACACTTTGGTTCCCAGCCCACGCTCAGTCCACTGAGCTATGCCAGCCAGAACCATCTTCTTTTTCTTAGATAAGTCCCTTTAATGTTTCATATAATAAGGGCTTGGTGATGATGAACCCCTTTACCTTGACCTTATCTGGGAAGCACTTTATCTGCCCTTCCATTCTAAATGAAAGCTTTGCTGGATAGAGCAATCTTGGATGGAGGTCCTTGCCTTTCATGACTTGGAATACTTCTTTCCAGCCCCTTCTTGCCTGTAAGGCCTTTTCAGAAACCAGCTGCCAGTCTTATGGAACTCCTTTGTAGGTTACTGTTTCCTTATCTCTTGCTGCTTCTAGGATTCTCTCCTTCATTTTAATCTTGGGTAATGTAATTATGATGTGCCTTGGTGTGTTCCTCCTTGGGTCCAACTTCTTTGGGACTCTCTGAGCTGCCTATACTTCCTGAAAGTCTATTTCCTTGGCCAGGCTGGGGAAGTTCTCCTTTATTATTTGTTCAAATAACTTTTCCACTTGTTGCTCTTCCTCTTCTCCTTCTGGTACCCCTATAATTCGGCTGTTGGAACATTTAAAGATGTCCTGGAGGTTCCTAAGCCTCTCCTAATTTTTTTGAATTTTTATTTCTTCATTCTTTTCTGACTGTATGTTGTTTTCTTCCTTCTGGTCCACTCCACTGATGGGAGACCCAGCTTTCATTCCATTACTATTGGATCCCTGTGCATTTTCTTCATTTCACTTATTGTAGCCTTCATTTTTTCATCTAATTTGTGATGAAAATTAACCAGTTCTGTGAGCATCCTGATCACCAGTACTTTGAACTGTGTATCTGATAGGTTGGCCATCTCTTAGTCGCTTAAAAGTACTGGTTGTGGGGTTTTCATTTGTTCTTCTGTTTGAGCTATATATATATAATTTGGGTGGGGGGGGGGTCTGGTCGTGCCTGTTATGTATGAGAGGCAAAGCCTTAGGTGTTCACCAGGGTGGGGCACCCCAGTCCCTGCGTTGTTACGCTGTATGTGGGGCAGGGGTCTGAGAGGGAACAATGGAGCTTGCTCCGCCCTCTGTAGACTTCAGCCCCTTTCCCTGCTTCCCCCAAGCAAACTGGACCTTTCTGGTGCTGATATTCGTGTGGGTGGGCTTGTGCACTCCGTGGGTCTTTCCAACGACCTCTCCTGTGAGGCTGGGAGTCTCCTTCTGTGCCTCAACCCCTATGGGTGTTTTCAATCAGTGCCCCAGGGCTCTATTTCCTAGCACTGGCATCCTGGGTTGCACGCAGTGCCTTGCTTTACAGTTGCTGCCTCGCTGGGTCTGCTGGATGCCATCCCTCCACCAGGGTTTGCCAGCACCGCTTGTGGGCCCAGGGTCCAGCCGCTACGGTCTTATGCACCTAGTCCCAATGCTCTTTGTGAGGCGCAACCCCTCTCCGCCCAGCTGCACGACTCCACCCCTCCTACCTGTCTGGATGAATATGTCTATTTTAACTCCTTGGTTGTCCCACTTCCATACAGTTCAATTTTCTGTCAGTTCTGGTTGTTATTCTGTTTCTAAATTGTTGTCCCTATCTTGGTTGTGCGAGGAGGCACACCTATGCCTCCATCTTGGCCGGAAGTCTCACTCTTTACTTTTTAAAATTAGCAGTATATTATGGATATTATTTCTCATCAAAAAATGGAGAATTTCCTCAGTCCTTTTTACAACTGAATAGTATTACACTTTACAGACATTTTATTCAACCAGTTCCTTATTGACAGAAATTTGATTGTTTCCATTCTTTTATTACTACAAATAATGTTACAATGCATAACTTTATTTTGTATTTTTACAGTCAAACTTTGGGATAAATTCCTAAACGTGGGATTGCTGGGTGAAAAGGGAAAAATGCACATGTAATTTTGCTAGCTACTGCAAAATTCCTTTTGATGGGACTATATTGTTATGAATTCCTTTCATTGGTGTTTGGTCTTCCACAGCCTCATTGTCAGAACATGTTGATGAGCTTTTGAACATTTTTTGTAGCAAATCTGGTGACAGTGGTATGTCACTATACTTTCAATTTGTAGATTTCTATTATCATAAATGATATTGAGCATCTTTTCACATTTACATATCATTTCATTTTTTTCTTTTGTGAACTGGTTCATTCTTTTTCCTTCCCTTCCTTTTCCTTCCCTTCCCTTCCCTTCCCTTTCCCATCTACATTTTTAGGTCTTTGTATATTATCCCTTTATCTATAATATGAGTTGTGAAGATTTTCTCCTAGGGTGCCATTTGTCTTTTAACTTAATTTTTAAAAAGTGTAATCTATTTATTATTCTCATCTCTTAATGCTTTTAGTTTTTAAATCACAAGTAGGAAGATTTTTCCCTGCTTCTAGGGTATGCTTTATTTATTCTAATACATCTATGGCTTCATTTTTCACATTTAGATCTTTGACATATTTGGAACTTTTTCTTGGATACAGTATTAAAAAAGGATCAATTTTATTTCACAACAAAATAATTTTTTAAATAAAAACAAAATTATGAAGGCAGAATATTACTTCAACTATTTTGACTTTCATGTCGCTTTTTCCTTAGGAATATTCTTCCAGAACAAATTTGCAGTACTGAAGAAGACGATGATTCAACACTGGAATATCTTCATCTTGAAAACAATTATATTAAAACAGGAGAAATATCACCCTATGCATTTTCATGCATAAGATCATATTCAAGTATCATTCTTAAACCACAGAATATCAACTAATCCTATATTTTCCTTTGTCATTTATAAACTGTATTTATATATTTGTTGTAGTATTTATCATCAATGAGAGAGATATCATGTCATGTTATACTCAGTATCATTATGCCAGTCTACCTGATTAATTAATCTAGAGATGAACAACCAAAAATATATCTACAAAGTTTAATCTTCTAGCATTTTTAGCTAAGTTTTCAGTTTCATACTCCAGAAAGAAGCCATTTCATTGCAAAGTTTTTCAGTTGGGAATAAGATGTTATATACTGTTGAGTGTGAGTGAAGGAATCTGGAGCAAAATAAGCATGTCCTTTACAATTAACCTGTGAGTATTGTTGGGAACCCCTTAAGTACATTTAAAAATTATGTATGCTCTGGTTCCAGACCAAGGAATGAATGGGAGAAAAAAATTATACAAAAAATTCATGAATGGGTGTTGTTTATTATTCTAAAGTTAAAACAATAATTTATTAATTTTCTTTAAGAGCATATGCTATCATTATTGGTATAAATATACATAAATATTGAGTTAGCTTTAGTTCCTCCTATTAATTACATGTGTGAAATTAAAATACTATTGTAATGTTAATTTCCTGGTTTTGAGAATTGTATTATGGGGTATTTATGAGATTTTTAATACAGGGGAAGCTGGGAGAAGGGTTCATGTCAGTTCTATACTATTTTAAAAATTTTCTGTAAGTATAAAAGGAGTAGCAGTATATTTAGATCACCCTTATTATTCTTTATTCAAGATCTAAATGTTTTATGGAAAGCAGTGGAGTTTGCTTAAAGGAAGTTAATTATCCTTAACTATACATGAGCAAATGTAAACCTATTATTGCATGAGTTTTTGAAAATTTTTGCTCCATTGGTCATTTTAGCACCTATCTTCTTTGCCCTAGTTTGCTCAAGTGTATATATTCTTTTACTCAGCTCAATAAAGCTATTAATATTTACTACATTTTGGATACTACCACAACTATATATTAGAATTTTCATTACATAATGTTATTTTATCTGTATTTCTAAAGTAATTTATAATAGACACATAGAGAAATTTTGTTGACTTCTCTTGTTACTATCAGTTTTGTGTCTTGAAAAACACCAGACTAAGAAATTAAGTCCCACTCTGGGGCTTAAGGCACCAAACTGCCCAACTTAAGACATTGTTGGGAAGGTTATGCTAATCTTTTGAACTTCAGTTATTTAATCTTTTTATAGTTCACTCACCATCCTTAGAACCTTCCAGCCTTACTTCACAGGGGTGTTATGAGAACCACAGAATGAAAAGCATCTGGGAAATGTAGTATACATGAGTGTACTTATTACTATCAACTTTTCATGTAAAATTGAGAGCAACCAGCTCTCAAATTTGATTATTATGGATAAGACTATTTCAAAAAGCACTAAAGACATGTGTAGCCTGGAATGATAAGGAAACAATTACACCAGGAATCAGATACCTGAGTGCCCATCTTGGTCAACCTAGTCAACTTGTGAAAATTTAATTTACCCATTTGAGCAGGTCATTTCTAAGCCTTTCTTTCTAAGCCCTCTTTCTTAATATCTAGGATTTTGAAATTACAACATAAAGAAGAAAAATAATACAAGGAAGACTGTTAGAATCAAGAATCAAAGCTTAAACCAGATGGCTAAAAACAGAAAAAGAATCTTATGGAAAAGTTGAGGTTTATAACAATTTTCAGAATGTAGGAGCATCAACTAACTTAAATTGGCCAAACTGTATATAAAAGGTAAAAATAAGATATGGTTATCCATTCATTTAACAAGAAACTTTGTATAGTGTTTCTTGGTGTATGAATATAAATACATAAACCTAAATGATTTAAAACAGTGATTTTTAACTGGTCTGCTGCAAGAATTTTTAAAACATGCAATAACTGACTAGTCATGGGCACTGATCTCTTTTCTCTTACACTGTCAAATTAAAAAAAAAATGACAACAGCTAACACAACCATAGTCATCCCATGTGAATGAATCAAAATTATACCTATTTTCTGTCAGATCAGCAAAAAACAGTTTTTTGGTGTGCTGCAGAATTTTAGTAATTAGTGTTTTCCATGAGATGGAAAAGGTTGAAAATTGCTGGTTTAAGTCAATCTAAACAGTAAACAAAATCAGTGTTAGAGGGGACTCAAAATGAATAAAGTGATTCAACAGAATCAGCATCCTGGGACAACACACACAGATACTGAATCATTCCTGTATTCATTTTTCATTCTGATTTTAATCAACTGTATTCCAGATGCTGTTCTAGAGAGAGACAGGAATGAACAGATTAGATGAGGTCTCTGCTATCAGGGAGTGCAAAGTGTGGTAGGGGCAATAAGCAGGAAATCAAATAAACAATCAAATCAATAGGCAGGTATAATGAAGTCAGTAGAACAAGGTGGCAAAGCAATAAACCACATTAGGTACTGTGCCCCTTCTTCCTATGGTTACCTCAAGTTCCCCAGGCTCAAGAGCGTCCAGTTTTGATGAGTCCCAGGAAGATCCAGCCATTCCTAGCAACCCTGAAGTGACACCAGGCCCAGGAGCACACTGAGATACTACTGTGTGCTCAGGGACACCCTGTTGGGAGCAGAATCTTTAGGAAGGCTGAAAATCAGAATGACTGATGGAAGCTTTGTTCTTAAGTTGGAAGACGCTGTTATTTCAACTGATATTATAATTTAAAATATAAAATGTCCAGCATTGAACTTTTTCAGTCTTGAAATTTCATTATGCTCCCATTAAAACAAAAAGTGATAGCCCTGGTCAGTGTGGCTCAGATGGTAAGAGCATTGTCCTGTAGACTGAAATGTCAAGCGTTCGATTCCTGGTCAGGGCACATGCCTAGGTTGCAGGTTCAGTCCTCCACTGGGGTGCATGCGAAAGGCAACAGATCAATACTTCTCTCTCATGTTGATATTTCTCTTCCCCTCTCTTTCCCTTCCTCCCCCACTCTCTAAAATCAGTGAGCATGTCCTCAGGTGAGGATTTAAAAAAGTGATAAATGTTCTTACAGCAAACATTTTTCAAAATATAATGTTAAAAACAAAGAGATGGCCCTGGCTGGCATAGCTCAGTGGATTGAGTGCAGGCTGGGAACCAAAGTGTCCCAGGTTCGATTCCCAGCCAGGGTACATTCCTGGGTTGCAGGCCATAACCCCCAGCAACCGCACATTGATAAAAAAAAACAAACAAAAAACAAAAACAAAGAGATGCCCTGTTGGCTTTAAAAATATGCTACAATTACTAACACATATGCATACAAAGGAAGTCCTGGTCTCGCCATGGTGTGAATATATTAATGGTGTCATCTTTGCACATACGTACAAGGAATACTAACTATATTTTTTAATTTTGAGATTTGGCTTATTGTAGGTTAAAAAATCACCAAAGGTATGTTATTGTGAAAAGGATATGAATAGCCTAGAATCGTAAGGAAATCAATATAACTACATCAGGAACCAGGCTATCTAGGTGCCCATCTTGGTCCCTGATGGTCAATTATGTAGTCATTTTACTTTTCTGGGATTCACTTAATTTAATTATAAAGTGATAGGTTTAGAATAGATCAGTGGTTTTTAAGCATGACTCAGCAAACGGTTCATGGAGCTCTGGAATGGAAGTGTCCCTAAAGACTCTCCCTTTGAACAAAGTAGTCTTTGCTTCCATCAGAAAGGGCTAGCTGTCACTGCTCCTCATTTTTTCCTTAAAACAAATGGAAAAGGTACTATCTATATCACACACCAGGTTTTAAGATTCACAAACAATGTGTAACCAAAGCCCCTAGTCCTTCCCTCACCCTCCGCCCAGCAACCAGGTTGGAGACCCTTGACCTGAGCAAATGCTTCTCAGGTGTACTGGTTACAACTGCCTGGATGCAGCCAAACTCTGCATCTGAGCAAGAAAGTTTAGCTGGTGTGTCTGTTCCTTTAGAACTCTAGCACCATAGAATGGAATCAGATCAGCCCTAAGCAGTTCTGCAATAACTAAAGACTGCTGACCTTTGACCTGAAAATTCCTGAAAGATAGTCAGCTGAACACAGCTCTGCAGGATGGCTCCAATATGGCAAAGTGCTGCAGGGCACACAGATGAGGCTCACACACCGTCCATCTCTGCCTGCCTTCAAGACTCACTATGGGGCAGACAGGTTAGGACCCTAGGACAAGGGTGAGCAAGTGGGTACAACTTGGGAAGAACAGAAAGATCATAGCTGGGTCTGGCCTTAACCAATATCTTCTGATTGAAGTCCACAGTGAAAAGTCTGGATGCCTGAGAATGGGCATGGTATACCTCTGAATCTGAAGGCAAAGGCACCTGGGGGAGCAGGCACTACCAACAGGGTGAGGAAGATACAATAATCTCTCCTTCAGCCTCCATTGTCAAATGATACCACCATCACTTTAAGAGCTAAAGTTAATTATTTCTCAAGAAAACTGATTTTGATTGAAGATCCAAGATGGCAGTGGAGTTGGTAGATGTTGTACTCACCTCCCTTCAGGATCAAACTGGAATTACAACTAAAATATAGGACAATCAACCTGACTATAAAACTTAAGACTAGCTGAGCAGAAATCTTATGGCCAGGGATTACAGAGGGAGCCACTGTGAGAATGGTAAGAAGGGTAGAGACATGTAAAGGGCTGGCCCTGCACCTTTTGTGTGGTAGCTGAGAATCCGGAGAGATATCTCAGCTAGAAAGGTCCTCCCTTAGGAGTGAGATCGCTACACTAGGCTCCCTAGCCCACAGCACCAGACCCAGGAGGAGGCACCCACACAGCATCTGGCAGTGAAAACAGCAGGGATTCTGTCTGTCAGGGAGAGACAATAATCTGCTAGAAACCCAGGTACCCTCTTAAAACGCCAATGCAGAAGATTTCATTCACAGCCACTCATCCTGGGCTCCTGTGGAGGGAGACCAGTTTGCAGTGAACTAGAGTTGTATGAGGAGAGACTGGGTTGTGTGGCTCTGGAGAGATAGCTAAAGAAACAACTACCAGGTTTCCTATACTTAGTTCCTTCTCCTATACTGCCAAGAAAGCACTCCCCTCCACAGAGCATGAACCTGGGGGAATAAAAGAGTCCCAACTTTCTAACTCCCTCTCACCTTGCCCTGCAGAGCTCCTTCCCTGTGGTGGACTCAGCTGCCTGGACCAATTGGGTAGAAGTCCAGATGAATTCAGGGAGTATCAGAGACTGAGTGGTGGGCTCAGAGGCCAGGGTCACTCGCCTCACCTTCCTGTGAGGTTGCCAGGCACTGCCGCTCAAAGGGAGATCTACTATCCACACAATCCTGACTCCTAGCAGGTCTGCCCTGCTACACTTGAGTTTTTGAGGAGGTCTGGCCAGGAAAAAGGACAGACTGAGTTGTGTGGTTCTAGAATAGGACCCATCTTTTCCTTGCAAATGCAACTGGTACAGAGCCCTGCCTTCACGGCTAAATCTTGATCTGTTTGAGCCTGATAAATGCTGCTGGACTCCTCCTGATGACTCTCTGAGACCCCTACCACAAAGGTCTGAGGGTACTCTTTGGGTACCCAGCAGGTAGAAACTGGCCTTGGTGTATCCTGGGACTTTTGCTGACCTGCCTTAGACCCAGCACTGCCACTAAGTTTCAATCTGTATCAATCTGGGGAATACCACTTACCCCAACCTGGTGACTTACTAAGAACCTACTTCATGCAACTCATGTACCATCAGAGGCTCTTTCAGTGATCGTACCTAACATGCAGCCATCAGGTAAAAACAAGCAGAGGTGATCTCAGGGAGCACTGGGCCTTTTGCTGACCTGCTCCTGGGTTCAGTGCTGGTGGAAGCCCACCTTGGTGTGCAGCTTGGCCATTCCCACACAAACCGATGCCCAGCAGAGGCAGCCACAAACTGTGGATAACTTGGTAGCTCCAAACAGGTTGCCCAGAACCAGTCAAAGGCAGTATCTGACACTGATCTGCATTAGAGTCCCTCCCAAGGGTTCCCAGAACCAACATGCCTAGTGGCAGGCTTCAGGTAACATTAGAGAAGGACCCAATTAGCTCCACAAGCAGTACATCCAAAGGAAGATCTCATCAGGCACCAGACCCAACTAAGCCAAATGCTGCTTCTTATGGTCAGCACCTATACAAGCAGCTTACATTCTGTGGTCAAAATCATGCCTCAAGTCAGCAAGCCTGAGGGTCAACCCCATGCATACAGGGCCAACAGCAATCAAATTTCATCAACAGCCCTGGTCAAGTGTTCAGTTGGTTGGAACATCCAACCAACTTTTGGTGTACAACCAAAAGGTTGAGGATTTGATCCCCAGGCAGGGAACATACCTAGGTTACGGGTTTAAACCACAGCTGGGGCACATACAGAAGGCAACTGATTGATGTTTCTCTTCCACATGGATGTTTTTCCCTCTTTCTCCCTCTCTTCCTCTCTATCTAAAATCAATAAACATATCCTCAGGTGAGGATAAAAACAAAGACTCAACTATAACAGGAAGGCTCACATTACCCACACAAAAGACATTCCAGCAGCACCCAGGTCAGGTGAAAAGGGAGACTGCACCAATGGGTCCCAAGGACACCTACTACCATAAGGCCACCTTACCAAGACTGTGAGACACAGCATATCACCTAATACAAAGAAACAATCATAGCTAGGCAGCCAAAATAAAGACACAAAGAAACATGCACAAAATGAAAGAACAGGAGAAATCCCCAGAAAAAGAAATGAATATAATAAAGACAAGCAATCTACCAGACACAGAGCTCAAAACAATGGTTATAAGGGTGCTCAAGGAACATAGAACTTCAACAGCATAAAAAAAGACACAGAAACTATAAGAAAAAAGCAGTCAGAGACTAAGAATACACTAGAAGAAATCAACAGTAGGTTAGACAAAGCAGA